TGCTTGCTTGCTTGCTTGCTTGCTTGCTTGCTTGCTTGCTTGCTTGCTTGCATGCACGCACGCACGCACGCACGCACGCACGCACGCATCCATCCATACATACATACATACATACATACCTACGCGCATGCATACATGCATACATACATCCAGACATACTTGGGGAAAGTGAGCCATTAGCGCCCTACCGGCTCGGCAGCAACCTGCGCTTGCGAAGCCAGGAACTAGCAACTTGTGCTCTTGGAGCCGGGAGGAAATGTTAACGGGCTCAGGCGTGAAGAAGCGCTTCTCTATGGCCCTATCTAATCGCCAGCCTTTTCACCGAGGGTTCTGTCTCGGTCTGTCTGTCCCGGTATGTCTGACTCGTCTGTCTGTCTCGGTCTCGGTCTGTCTCAGTCTCGGCCTGTCTGTCTCGGTCTGTCTGTTTCGGTCAGTTTGTTTCGGTCAGTCTGTCTCGGTCGGTCTGTCTCGGTCCGTCTGTCTCGGTCTGCCCATCTCGGTGTCTCGCTCGGGCAGGACACACAGACGAACACACCCACGATCTCAATAATGCAGTATTGATGATGCGTTTTCTCCTGGCCGGCATGACCGGCGTCGCCAACGCTTGCTCCAAAAACATATCCATTTTTTCCCCAACAGCAGCGTGCTTTGGGGTCTTCAGCCATAGTACAGGTTTCGGAGCAAGCCGGAGCAGCTCCCAAAGACATTCCCCCAGGTTGCACAAGGTTCCCACAGCTTTGCTCCAACGTTCCCACGAGGTTCCCACAATTTTGTTCCACAAGGTTCCCACAACTTTGTTCCACAAGGTTCCCACGACTTTGCCCCACAAGGTTCCCCCAAGGTTCGCAAGGTTCCCACAGCTTTGCTCCAAGGTTCCCACAAGGTTCCCACAACTTTGTTCCACAACGTTCCCGCAACTTTGCCCCACAAGGTTCCCACAAGGTTCCCCCAAGGTTCCCAAGGTTCCCACAAGTTTGCTCCAAGGTTCCCGCAGCTTTGCTCCAAGGTTGCCCCAAGGTTCCCACAGCTTTGCTCCAATGTTCCCACAAGCTTCCCACAACTTTGCTGCAAGGTTCCCAGAAGCTTCCCACAACTTTGCCCACTTTGCTTCAAGGTTCCCACAAGGGACCAAAGGTTCCCACAGCTTTGCTCCAAGGTTGCCCCAAGGTTCCCACAGCTTTGCTCCAAGGTTCCCACAAGGTTTCCACAACTTTGCCCCACAAGTTCCCCAAGGTTCCCACAAGATTGCTCCAAGGTTCCCACAACTTTGTTGCAAGGCGCCCCCTAAGGTTCCCCCACAAGGTTCCCCCAAGATTCCCGCAATGTTGCTTCACACGTTTCCAACAAAGCGCCCAAGGTTCCCACAACTTTGCTCCAAGGTTGCCCCAAGGTTCCCACAACTTTGCTCACAACTTTGCCCCACAAGGTTCTTCCAAGGTTCCCACAGCTTTGCTCCAAGGTTCCCACGAGGTTCCCACAACGTGGCCCCGAGGTTCCCACAAGGTTGGCGCAAGTTTCCCACAAGGTTCCCGCAAGATTCCTAATCGACAGTCAAGGACACCTCATGATATTACAAGTCTATTTCATTGTGCTTCCTACTGTTACCTTTACCTTGCTTACCCTTTAGTATCCTATCCTCTTAGTTTCCTCCTGTTCTCCATTCGGGCTC